CGTAGTATACATTTATTCCATGGCTTTTAAATGCCCTTATAGATTTAAATGTATTTTATAGGAAAGGTGCGCAAAAATATTATTTCTTGTACTCAGGTCGTAACAAATTAATCTTCTTCAAATGTAAAAGGACTATCTTTAGGCTTTATGGAACTTTCTAAATTCCTGCTCTTCGAGGGTTTCACACTTCAACCTGTATATTTTCCGTATAAGTAAAGTCTTGCATTTATATATGCTATTAAAAAAGGCAATATACAGCTAGTAATTTTTTTAGTGAATGGTAATCATCTAGTATACTTACCAATAAGCATTACTAAGTCAAAACGTATTATTCTTTATAGATGACATTTTCGTGGTCCTAAAAAATGTCATTATTATAAACCTTTTTGAAAACTGAAGCATATCCCACCTTCAAATATAAAACTCGATGAAAACTAATTTTTTGATACAAGATAAGTACGTGAAAGAATATTTTTATGTGTATTTTCCATAAAATATATTCGAATTGGCAAGGGCATTGAAAAATCAATTGAAAAAATGGGTACTAATTCAATAGTGTTTTTTTCGGTTGAAACGAACTTCATTCGTAAACTGGCACCCTCACTTGATCGAAAATCTTGGAATTATGTTCATCCGTACTTAAATAATTTTTTTTAAAACTGAAAACACATTTCAGAATTTTGGTTAAAATTTCGCGAGGTAGCACATCCATTGTGGTGCAGTCTTCTATTCTGTTAACACTGCCATTTTCAGGGGTTAGGCTATATTAACCTGACGTCGGGCACTAGCTATCATTTGTACTGTTCACAGGCAATTCAGTCTTTGGCACACCGCCTATGAAGAGAACTGACGCAGTCGTCGGGCGTGACCGCGACTGTTCAGGGGGTGGTGCATTTATGCAGGTCGGTGGCGGCCCTGGTCCATCCTACAGCTCTTTCGACATTTTCAATAAATAACTCTGCTCAGCATCCATTTATTGTGGATGCAACTAACTTAAAAGAAGTTAGATGAGCAAATTTTTTAACTCTAAAAAACGTCTATAGCTACCTTTGCTTGTAATGCAGTACAAAATAAACAAGGTTCATAAACCGTGTATTTGAATTCTTGAAAAACATTTCAGTTGAAGCACATCAAGGCAACTCAGTTGATCGGCCTCCCGGAGTCGATGAGAGACTATGTTAAAATGCTTTTACATCCCGATCCCAACGTGCGTCCGGACCCGCATGAACTCCTAAAGGTAGGTTTCTCCAATTTTTTTACCTAGACAATTGACAGCGAACAGTTAGCGTTTCGCTGGCAGGAATCCTTTCACAGCCGAGCTCTTTATCTGCGCCATCCCGAAATTGGCATTGCTTTCTGCTTACTCTTTGCCTTTTTTGGCATGTGAGCTGCCCAAAGGTGCTTAACGAGACGGAACTGTCAAACCTGAATCCTCTTCACTCTACGGAGGTAAAGCAAAGTATTTGAATTAGTGGATACTAGAAACATCCAAAAAAGCTTTGGCGCCCAAGTCCTGCGCCACGTGTAGTTTCCGAGTACTTCCGAGCCGACAGTATCAAAAAATTTGAAAGTAACCTAGGCTCTGCTGAACGTAAAGAAAATAATCTGCCAAATGTAGGCTTCAGTCACGTAAGCTCTCTCGGGTCACCTGCTGTTAAAAAGGGTGTTATTAGTGTCGGCACCAGGCCCAAAGGTATAATTATCATAATGGTGACAAGACACTTGGAAACCTAAAAAACATCCAAAGCCTCCCCTCTTTTCTCTGTGCGTTCATGAATCTTCTTCCTTTTAAATTATATTAAACCAACCAACCACGAAGGAGGGGTTTTGATCTAATGAAGAAAAAAATAGCAGAGGACGTTGCTTCCAGTCCTGCTACCATCACAATTAAACTATTTGTATGATAATAAATATCAAGTACTCTTGTTTTTAAATGGCCCCGACTCAGGAAAGCAGTTGACAGCAAAACATGTTCGAAAGGACTTCCTAAGAGAAGATCCTCAGGAAGCTGTCGATAGATATACGACCTGTGTTCCCTTTTGTGTGGCTCCCTGTGTATCAGCCTCAAACCGGGTGGCGCTGTCATGGTAGCGAGGCCTAAGCACAGGCAGCATGCGAAAGGTAGAGCACCATGCAGTATCGACCGCTGCGACCAATCTTTTCTTGTCTTGGCTCAGCTTCGCCTGCATGCGGGAATGAGGGAGGAGTGGAAACAACCCCGCGCTGCCTTTTACCCACAAAAACCAATCTAACCTGTTAAATTGTCACAAGGTGCAGAATTTAGAAGATCAGGAGGTTTGCCAATTGACGATATAAGTCGGTTCTGCTAACTGTTGGTCAAGTTTCAATGATTTCTCAGTTCGGCTTCGACTCAATGAGGTCATGTGAGCTAAGAGACAAGCACGCGTATGGCACCCAATAAATGGGTGCTGGATATGAACGCAACTACGGTTGTTATGCTCGCTTCCAGTTATCGTGATCTTATTTGGCTACTTGGAGCACTATGGGTATAAGAAAAAACTGGGCTTGCTGTTGTTCAGGTTGATTTCTCAAAGTATGCTCAAGTCACTGCTGCCCTTCAGAAAAATTGTGATCGTTTCGGGACTTAATAACCTGCCGGAAATGCCATTTTTTTCATAGGAAGACAATTGTAGTTGAACATGACACGATTCTCAACTGTATACTCTGACAAAAATGGTTTTTGCTATGGTAACTGGTTGCTTGTATATTCGTGTGTTTGTGTTAACTTATCATCCGATAACTATTGTTCTAATCATCAGCCAACGTTGGTAGGCTCCCGCCTTGCTGTAAATCGTCAATGTGTTAGCGCCTTCCACCTACGACAGCTCGAGGAGGTCCACCGTTTGCTTCAGGAAGCTAAAGCCGAGAGTTGTGACTTACATGAGGATTAGTTTTAGGTGGTAGCAGATTTGCGTTGCATCTACCGCAATCTATCTTCCTTCACCTGCCTGAGCCCGGTGTCAAAGCAAAACAGATCGGGTGGTGTCTGAGAGGAGTGTTGGCGGGAAGGGAGTAAAAGGAAGTAATCCTACCGGATGTGGGTATATAAAAAACACCAGAGACCCTCACCTGGTTAAGTCCACCGGTCGAGGCTGTTACCAGGGTGTGGCCAACAGACAGAGCCTAG